ACAATGGATTTGATTTACAGAGTCGTCTGACCAAAGCAGAGCAGATTTAAATGAAAGTTTAAATGGGTTTCGAACGAAGATGATTTGGATGGGAAATCCATTGTTATATATTCACATCTCATGGAGAATTTAAACGTTTAACCATCTGCTCTTAAGCTAATTAAAGAATCATTTAATTACTAGAGGGAAAAATATCTCCTGTCCCGCTTTAGCTTCTTTATTTATAGATTTCCTTCTCATAGACTTATCCATAAATGCTGCCTTCAGCTCTTCTATAAATGATCTCTCTAGTGAACGCCTCCTTCGAACTAACCTCAACTCCTATGCATTCGGATTGTCTATTGATACTCCCTCCAACTCGTCTATAGAGACTCCCTCTAACTCGTCTATAGAGACTCCCTCCAACTCATCTCCAGATACTCCCTCCAACTCGTCTATAGAGACTTCCTCTTACTGGGCTACAGAGACTCCCTCCAACTCGTCTCTAGATACTCCTCCAAGTCTTCTATAGATACTCCCTCCAACTCGTCTATGGAGACTATCTCCAACTCGTCTATGGAGACTATCTCCAACTCGTCTATGGAGACTATCTCCAACTCGTCTATGGAGACTATCTCCAACTCGTCTCCAGAGACTCCCTCCAACTCGTCTCCAGAGACTCGCTCCAACTCGTCTCCAGAGACTACCTCCAACTCGTCTCCAGAGACTCCCTCCAACTCGTCTCCAGAGACTTCCTCCAACTCGTCTCCAGAGACTCCCTCCAACTCGTCTCCAGAGCCTCCCTCCAACTCGTCTCCAGAGACTCCATCCAACTCGTCTCCAGAGACTTCCTCCAACTCGTCTCCAGAGACTCCCTCCAACTCGTCTATAGAGACTGCCTAGAACTCGTCTGTAGAAACTCCCACCAACTTGTCTATAGAGATTCCCTCCAACACGTCTATTAAGAGTCCTTCCTGTATGGGTTTGGGTATCCTAGATATGAGTTTCCTTGCCACAAATTTAGGGGAATTTTGGGATCGTTTACTCCCCTCCAAACACTTCTCCGAACTCATAATAGATTGCCGGAATCTATCCTGATTTTCGGGTTGAGGCGCCAGAGGCTTCAGCCTGCGATTGGGCTCCTTGTGCGGCACTGGAGCCGGCCGACTGGGTTGTGGTGACAATTGCCGCGATGACTGCTTCTACTGCTCAAACATTTTGTTGATTTTGGCCACGGTCTCCTGGGACTTGGGTGAACCATGTTCACATTCCGTCAACTCTATGCGGGCTATGCGATCTGCCCGAGATTTGAGGCCAGCCCTGGCTATGTCACGCCGTATGTCACAGGTGGCAATGCGATTGCGATAATCCCAGCTATTAGATTTTTCCACATCCCCATTGATGGTGTTGTCCGATTCACAGCCTGTATCGCAGGATGATCAGTGGCAGCAGCTGCCCGATGAATCGGAGAAGACAGAGGCGGAGCTGGAGGAGGTAGGGGGTTTAACAAATGTCGGTGGGGAATTTGTGGTACGTTGCTGCTGCTGTTGGGGTGATGGCTGTTGCTGCTGGTGTTGGGAGGGTATTAGTTGGACGGGTGGCAGACTCCTTTTATATTCCATATAACTGTAATTGGGTTTTGAACCCGTTTTCGTCATCAGTAACTCCATTTCGGCTACCTCTGTGCTGACCCACACTGGCCAGAGTTTCATTAGAGGGTTTGCGCTGGATGTGATGCATTTTGTTGCTGTTGGATTTTTTCATAATTATGTTTCGTGAAATTCGGGGAGGAAAGGGGTAATAATATGTTATTCCCAGGGCTTAAAGGACTGTAATCTAAAGCATACGTATAAGGCTTGTAATTCTTATTTACTTTGGACACTTTGAAATTCGTTCGGCAATCCGAGAGAATTTAAATTTTTATGGTACTATTTTGTTTTTTTTAGGGAAATTGTAAACTTTTCTTTACCCACTGTAGTTTATCACATTCGTATAAGGCATGTAATTCTCATTTAGTTGGAGTTTGTAGTGAAATCCGCCCTCAATCCTTCTTCAGAAGAACATTTTCGTAAATTTTCCTTATGAAACGTATGTATATAACCCGTTGTGTTCCGCGTAATTATAAAATCAAACAAAAGACTTAAGAAACAAACACTTCACATTGTAAACAGAACAAACAAAAGACTTAAGACACAAACGTGTTGTACTGTTACAGCTGGAAGCTAAATAACCGTAACTCATAGCTTCAACAATTACGTCAGGTGTTAATTAAGAAATTGATTTTTTTACCTCATCCACAAAACCTCCCCCCCCCTCTCTCTCTCTCTCTGAGGAATATCAAGCCATTTGAAATTGTTTTCTAATAAAATTATGAAATATTTTCTTGTAACAAGAGCTATTTTTTTTTTTTGGCCAAAAAATGACAATAAATTTGCTATTGTTAATTTTTATTGTAAACAACAAAAAGAAGAAATGGCGAAAGTTGCCAAAGAAAAATACCAAAAAACAAAATGAATTGAAAAAAACTTTTGTAAACATTCAACGACAGTCTCGATATTTTTTTTTTCTGCTGTGAACAGCCAGCATCCATTATCGAGAGTGTGTGCGGTTGATGACTGAAGCTCAAGATTCCAATGTTGATAAATGGTAATGAAGTCGAAACCTGTGAAGGGAGAAAGAAAGCTTTCTCTTTCGCCCTCTAAGACCACAACAAGTTGCCATAATAAGCTTATGTGGGGGTATACATAAATGGTACATGAATAAATCGTCTAAAGAATGTTAGTTACGCCAGCAGCACCCAATTCCCCTATAAATCAAATTATTAACTAATAAATTTTAATTTCTTCCACTGGTCTGGAGTCTTGTTTTACATATGCCATGCATTTTTCCAAAGGTATGCAGGCGGTAATTCCTTTCCTTTTTTTTTTCTTTGTTTATTTGGATTTTCTTCCCCCTTCAGCGCTAAACAAGAAAAGGTCGCCAATGATGGTAGAAAGAAAACAAAAAGAGAAATTTCACAGCGCCAAGCAACTCATCACAGTTCAGTGATTTTTTCAATTTCATTTTTATTTTTTTGGTTTGGCTGCTGCCATGGCTTTGGCATAAATGAAATTAAAAGTGACCTCTCAAGTGGTTATTTTGATTGCTCTGCTCCACTGAATTGTATGTGTGTGTGTAGTGGTGTCGAACAACACATTGGGTTACAATTGAATTTATTATTTACATTTATAGAAAAGCCTAAGGGGTCTCAATAAACAAGCCAAAAAGAGAACTCTATGGACGAGCTGCAAGAAGTTTATATATTCAGGATGGGAGTTATTAGGAATAAATTTTTAAAGATCAGATAGAAGAAGTATTTAGATACCAGCTGGAGGAAGTCTTTAAAGACAAGCTGAAGGCTGTCTTTGTCGACGAGCTGAAGGCTGTCTCTATAGACGAGGGTGAAGTCTGTCTCTATAGACGAGGCTGAAGCCTGTCTCTATAGACGAGGCTGAAGCCTGTCTCTATAGACGAGGCTGAAGCCTGTCTCTATAGACGAGGCTGAAGCCTGTCTCTATAGATGAGGCTGAAGCCTGTCTCTATAGATGAGGCTGAAGCCTGTCTCTATAGACGAGGCTGAAGCTTGTCTCTATAGACGAGGCTGAAGCCTGTCTCTATAGACGAGGCTGAAGCCTGACTCTATAGACGAGGCTGAAGCCTGTCTCTATAGACGAGCGAAAGGCTATCTCTATAGACGAGCGGAATGCTATCTCTATGGACGAGCGGAATGCTATCTCTATGGACGAGCGGAAGGCTGTCTCTATAGACGAGCGGAAGGCTGTCTCTATAGACGAGCTGAAGGCTGTCTTCATAGACGAGCTGAATGCTGTCTCTATAGACGAGCTGAAGGCTGTCTCTATAGACGAGCTGAAGGCTGTCTCTATAGACGAGCTGAAGGCTGTCTCTATAGACGAGCTGAAGGCTGTCTCTATAGACGAGCTGAACGCTGTCTCTATAGACGAGCTGAACGCTGTCTCTATAGACGAGCTGAACGCTGTCTCTATAGACGAGCTGAAGGCTGTCTCTATAGACGAGCTGAAGGCTGTCTCTATAGACGAGCTGAACGCTGTCTCTATAGACGAGCTGAAGGCTGTCTCTATAGACGAGCTGAAGGCTGTCTCTATAGACGAGCTGAAGGCTATCTCTATAGACGAGCTGAAGGCTGTCTCTATAGACGAGCTGAAGGCTGTCTCTATAGACGAGCTGAAGGCTGTCTCTATAGACGAGCTGAAGGCTGTCTCTATAGACGAGCTGAAGGCTGTCTTCATAGACTGGCGGAAAACTAGACAAGCTGAAGGCTGTTTTCATAGACGAGCTGAACGCTGTCTTCAAGGCGAGCTGTCAATTAATAAAAACATTTTTCAAAACCCTGAGGATTAATTTTTTGCTATAGAAAAAAAAACTTCTTAGACCCTTACTATATTATTACTATTTTCTATAAAAAAAAATCTCCTTAGGCTCCTGAGGATAATTTTTTCAGGAATCGCCTGAAACCCCCTAAGGATTATTAGTTTCTATAGAAAAAAAAACTCTTCAGAAACCTGAGGAGTATTTTTTCTATAGAATAAAATCTCTTGAGTATTATTTTTTTCTGCAGAAAAATCTCTTCAAAAAACCTGACGATAATTTTTTCTATAGAAAAAAACCCCTGAGACCCTTAAGGATAATCTAATTCTACAAAAAAAATCTCAAGCCCCTAAGGATTATTATCTCTGTAGAAAAAATCCGAAGACCGCCGAATAACAGTGAAGAACAGAGGATCCCTGAGGATTACCTTTTTCTATAAAAAAAAACTACTCAAGACACTACTATTTTTTTTCTTAGTGAAAAACTCCTCTGAACCCTGAGACTTATTTTTTCTATCGAACAAAATTACTGCAGACATCTATCGATTTTTTTTAAATTTTTCTATATTTCCCTATACCTCTATTTTCCAAAGTCATACTCAAAATATTTTATTCTCTCCATCTCTTCTCTTACAGAAAATTCTCTCTTTCATTCTGCTCTCCTCGCTGACGGCAGCACAACAACAACCGACGCTGCCGCAACAGCCCACACAGCAAGGAGATTATGGAGAAGAGCCTCCAGAGGGCTACTATGCCTTTGTGGAATCACCCAATGCCATACCGCCCAAGGTGCGACCACCACCCTACACCCATGTCAATGTGGATTGTAAAAATGTGGCCAACAACAAAAAAGTTGCTGTTTCGGTGAATAACATCTGCGGAGATTTGAATAAGGGTCAAATACCCAAAAATCCGATGAAACAAAATGTCTTGGGAGAACCATATCCTTTGTGAGTTGAAAGAATGAAATTATCCTTATGGAAATTATTAACTTTCCTTTTTTTGTTTCTAGTGAATTGATTCGCAATCACACTTTAAAGTTCCTTTCCAAGACCTTGCCAGTGCTGCAGGCGGATGATACTCTGCCAAAAGTCACTCAAATATTGAGAGATGATCCCGTGGAACAGGTGGATAACAATAACATTGATCAGCAGCAATATGGCAATGGAGCTCGCACTAAACGTGAAGCAGTGGCGCCCAAATTGGAACCCACAAATGAAAATCATAATTATGGTTACTTCGATCCAGCCATTGATGAGGAGGAAAGAGCTCAAAAATCCCAGGGGGATGCGGATCGTAAATCACGTAAATTCTGTGATGGTGGTGGCATGTAGGTCGTACTTTTACATCAACATGGATCCATATTTAATCTGGTATTTTCTTGGTTTTCAGTTTCTGTTCCATTTACAAGGCTCTGCAAGGTGACACTTCTTCCTCGGCCCCCTCTGCTTCACCCTTGACTGCCGAGAGACGTGAGGAGATCGGACCCATACGCTATGAAGGTCCTCCCACTCCCTGCCCGGCCAAAGTGGAATATGCCACTCCAGTGTTTGCCAAAAACTACCAAGGCTCCTGGCGTTATGTTGTACAGATTCCCTATGAAGGCTATTTCACCCAGACCATTGAGGTGACCCGCTGCATTCAGGCTAGATGTCATTATTTGGATGGTGGTTGTCTGTCCTCACCACGTTGGGTCAGCTTGTTGGTAGCTGAGATATTCTATCCAAATGCCGAAGATACGGTACCCCAACCCTCGACCACCACTCAAGCTCCTTCGGTACAAGATTTCCAAGCCTATCAACAGTATTTACAAAAACGTGCTGGTGTTGCCACCGGTTCGGAGGGCGCCAATCACAATGGTGGCGATTTCAATCAACACTGCGATGGTCACGATGAGATTGGTTGTTTCCAGGTGCGTTTGTACTATGATTGGTTCCTGATTCCCGGCTCCTGTAAATGTTGGCGTCCCGACTACTTTGCCAAATATGTGCGCAGAAAGTCTGTTGCCGATTTGTAAATTATGGGCAGCACATTAATAATATTCTAGTACTCTGCCAAGTCCTTGCTAAAAAAATTCAATTTAAATTTTTGAAAACAAAATATTATCCCGCTCCTACTTCTAATTTTAAGTTATGATCTTCATAAAAAGTTCCATTTATTTAACTGCAATAATTTGCAAAATTTATATTTTTAAGTATCTTCTCCTCTCACTACATGAAATTCACATTCTAAAAATCCTCTTGACCTTTGATCCACTTTTGATAATGTTCTCAGACATCATTGGATTCTTAAGAGTCTGAATTTCGTAATATAATTAACCTCATTATTAAAAGAAAACTTGTCTCTTTCAAATCTTTTTTAAGATAGTATTATGGTACGACAGGAAATGGTTTCAATATCCAATATTCTGAGCATAAAAATTACCATTTAGTTATCTATAGAATATATTTCTCAATAAATTATCATAAATTATATTATTTATATTTAATAAACATTACAAAATACAAATAAATATTATTAAAAAAAAATATGAACAATCTTTATATATACTTAAATAGACATATAAATATCTGGTAAGAAAATATTGCATTCGACCTTTAAGGAATACTATTTTCTATAGAAAAAATGCCTCAACCGCCTAAGGATATCTTTCTGTATAGAAAAACATTGCTCAGCCTCCTAAAGAATAGCATTTCTTTTAGAACTACATTTCTTATAAATCTGAGGATAACTTTTTTCTATAGAAAAAACTCCTCAGGAACCTGAGTATTAAATTTTTTAATAGAAGAAAATTGTAGGTCCCAGAGGATTAATTTTTATATAGAAAGAAACCTCAAGTCCTTGAAAATACTTTTTTAATTTATTTTATTTAAGGGTCAGAATAGAAGCCTATTATTTTTGGAGATGATTGCAAAATATTTAGGGGATGAAATGGACCAAGAAAGAGTTTTTTTTATTTTGCAGTTGTTCGATAGGCCACAATTATGAACCAATCGACTCGGAAATTTACATGGAGTTAGAGTTTAGGACTGGGCAGGAGCCTACCAATTTGGCCATCGGACAATATTTGTTGGGTAAAATAGACCCCAACTTTTATGTAAGAAAATAGGAAAATTTCCATTAAACCGCGAATATTTTTAATCCCAGCCAAATCGCAAATATATTTAAAGGCCACTTCTGACCAATAAAGTGATGCTGATAGCCAAGAAATCGGATATGTAGCAAAATAGGTACAATATATATGTAAAATAATAGATCTTACTTATTCTGCTTATAAGTCAAAAACCGCTGGGGCATTTTCACAATTCCCATCAATTCGGAATGGTTTCTTGTCAGAAAAGGATAAAATCTTAGAAAAAATATGCCAATAACAAAGTGAATATCTTTTGTTACATTTTTTCAATTTTTTTATCGAATGCTATTTTTTCAATTTGACTTACTATTTTGAATTGTACATTTTCTAAATTTTTACTCCTCGCAACACTACATTTTGAGGGCTCTTTGACATTATTTCAAAAACGAAATCTTCCAAAATGGATTTGGATATGAGGGTACTTCGAACGCATTGTAGTCTTGTAGGGCATCACATGGTCGGCCCCGCACGACTATTGCCTTTGCTTACTTGTTTTTAATTAAAATTTCACAGGGCTTGACGATTACTCTGAGGAAAAAAAATCCTCAGACCAATGAGAAATACTGATTTATATGGAGAAAATTGTCAGACTTCCGAGGATAACTTTTCTAATATAAAAATTCTCAGAACCCTGACAATTACCTATTTATTTATGCCAGACCACATAGCTTTAATTTTTCTATAGAAAAATTCTTCAGCCCCCAGAGGTTAATTTTTCTCCAAAAGAACAATTCCTCATTCCACAAGGATTACTATAAAAAAAAATTCATCGGGCCCCTTAGAATTATTTTTTTTTCTTTGGTCACACTTTTTTTTAAATTTGCATGCACCCCTACACATTTTTTTATAGGCTCGCGAGAATTACTATATTCTATAAAAGATATAGATCTACAATATTTGTGCCCTGGTGACAGCCTATTTCTATATAAAAAAAATATAAAAAATCCTAGGTCCCCAGGATAAACAATTTCCAGGAGAATATCTGTTTATCCCATTTTTACAATTTTTTATTGAAATTGATCCGGTATTCCCGTCTTCGCACTAGATCTATTTATACCCTAGTGGTAAGGGTATTATGTAGATAGACCCATAGTTACTTTTGTGGATCTTCATAGAATCACTTTCTGAGTCGATTTATGTATGTCAGTCCATCTGTCCATATATTTTTGTGAACAAAATACAGGTCGCATATATTATCCGATTGAGATGAAAATTTCCAAACAATATTTGTTAGGCCCAAGGACGAACTTTAATGAAATTGGTCAGAATTAGTTCAAATTTAGATGTAGGTCGTATATATGTCTTCAACCGATTTCGGGTTAATTATGTAATATTGTACAATAATATTATGTAATATTGTAATATTGTATTGTGCCAAATTTAAAGAAAATCTGGGAGATATCTCGTATACCATGAGAATTAAAAAAGAATCCCTGAGAAATGTATGATACAAAAATGTAAGCCCACGTAGTTTTAATCTAATCGAATTCCGCCTATGCTTTCTATAAAATATATGTAGTTTTTTGGAATATTTGATGTGGAGGAGGTACTAGGAAAAATGAATCGGAACATCACATCTTCATTCGAGACCTAATTTGTGTACAAAACATGTGCGAAGTTTGAAGAAAATAGCACACTGCTTTCACATTTTATGGGAGTTATTAATATTCAAAATTATGACACTTTGGGAGATACCACAGGAAGCAATTCAATATTGCCCATTTTTGCACCTGACCTAAGTCTCATATAAATATTGCCATTTGCCAAATTTGGACTATATCGGTTTATATGAGTTTTAGGTTACATTTTTCTGTAATTTTTGAACTTTTGTGGAGGTGGAACCCAAAAAAGTACCTCGAAATATTTTAAATTTTAAACTTGATCTAACACTGATAAAAAATTTTGGTTTTCTTCAAAACCTAAAAAAACGGAGTAATCGGACGGTATGTTAACTTTTCTCACCTGACTCTAGGTCTGATAAATTATATCGAGTACTCCCTTCCCTCAATATAAACATTATTTGGTTTTCGCAAATTTTTGAGAGACACCTATATTGGAACTTGGTCTTGAGTTGACACAAATATTACCATGTGGCAAGTTTCGACCAAATCGGATACAGTTTTCGGTTGAATTCTTACTTGCTAGCCGGCCATACAGACAGATGTTTCACGTGGCTATTTTATTCAAAGGGTCTAACACCGTTATTTCGATATGGTTCATTTTGGCAGCCACAAAGGCTGAAGGTATAATTATGTATACATTTTTCGGTTTAACCTAATATTATTTGATTGTGAACAACTTTTCAAATTACAATAAACTACCCTCAAGACATTGTCCGCTTATGCTTGCAACATGTATAAGCCCCTTTTAATGCTAAACCAATTCGCCTCAAACAAAAAAAAACAATATCGATGGTTTGACATCAAACATAATAAATACCCTACTTAATTTAGGATGATAGTATGCGTTAATCCAATTATATGGGTTTATGGTCTAAATGCAGCGATAGAAAATACTGGGTACAACGGTTAAATAATAATTGTTAATCGTTAATATCGGCAAAAAAAAATAAATAACTTTAATATTTTCTAGTCAAAGCAATGATTTTTGTTCAAAAAAAATCCTGAAGAATTTAATTAGTAACAAGTAAAACAAGTAAAAAAAAAGGAAGTTCGGCCGGGCCAAACTTTTAATACCCTCGACCTTAGGGTAAAAGAAACATTAGAAGAAATGTGGCAAAAACCATTAAAATGCCGAATATCGGGAGGTACCGTTATATGGGGGCTATGCCAAAACGTGGACCTATAATTACAATGTTTTGCCACACGAACTAGGACGCATTATGACCCACAAATACCAATTTTTAGACAAATTGGTGAATAAATGTGGCAAAAACCATCAAAATACCGAATATCGGGAGGTACTGTTATATGGGGGCTATACCAAATCATGGACCCATACATGCAATGTTTCGCCACCGGAGCTGGAACCCATTATGACCAACAAATACCAATTTTCCGACAATTCCGTGAAAGAAGGTTGCAAAAATCATCAAATTACCGAATATCGGGAAGTACCTTTACATGCGGGCTATACCACAACGTGGACCTATACATGCAATGTTTTGCCACACGCTCAGGGACCCGTTATGACCTACAAATACCAATTTCCAGACAAATCCGTGAAAAAATGTGGCATAAATCATCAAAATACCGAATATCGGGAGGTACCGTTATATGGGGACTATACCAGAACGTGGACCGCTATATCTCATTTTCAATACCAACCATCCTAGACACAATGTAAATAGCTCTGCTAAATTTTGGCGCTCTACGTCAAATAATGTGGGCTGTATCGTGATTTCAACAGACAGACAGACAGACAGACGGACAGACAGACAGACGGACATCGTTAAATCGACTTAGAATTTTATGCTGACTATGAATATATATACTTTATGGGGTCTAAGACGAATATTTAAGGAATGACAAAGTTAATATACGCTCCTTTCCAAGGTGGAGGGTATAAAAATAGCCTACTTCTTAAGCTTGTTTTTACGATTTTAAGAATAAAAGTCTAATTGTAGTATATTTAAATATTATATATATATTTCTTTTCAAATATTGTGGATTTTTCAAGAACTTCATGGAAAAAATTCATGTTTTCAGTTATGTTTTTCTCTTCACTGACCTTTATTTTTATATAAGCATGGATTTTTAAAATATGTTTACCAAAATCTATGACGAAATTTTGAAAAAATTTTTACCTAGATCTAAAAAATTTAAAAACTTGCCCAAAGGTCAATAGTTGGCTATAAACAGGAACGAGTATAAATGTGTTTTTTTTTACCAGGATCTAAAGACGACTGTAAACGAATCTTAAGACGATTATAAAATGATTTTTTATTTTTTTAACAGTATCGAAATAAGACAAAATCGTGGATTTTTTGAAACAAACTTATTAATGTCTAAGACGATTAAAAAATATCGACTATAAACGTGAATTCAATAGAGATTCAATAGAGGATATAAAACTACAATTTTTGACAACTTATGATGTAGATTTTGAAATGATTTTTTTTAAATCTACGACGAAATGTTGACCGATTTTTTCCTTGATCTAAGGACGTTTATAAACGCGGATTCTTAAAAAACTTTTACCAGCATCAATAGATGGCTATAAACGGGGATATTTGAGAAATGTTTAACGTGATCTAGGAACGAAAAAAATGTTAATGGTTTTTTACCAGGATCTAAAGACAACTATAAACGAATCTAAAGACGGTTATAAAGTGAATTTTTATTAAGGTTGTTTTATACCAGGATCTAAGGAAGACAAAAATCGTGGATTTTTGAAAAAAAATCATTAGCATCTAAGACGAT